AGTCTTGAATAAGGTTCTAGTGGTCCCTGACAATAACGCATCTTCCACAGTTCGAAGGCAGCGTGGGACGATCCCTGGCTTGCAGCATTTTTGAGCCACCCTAGACTTTCCTCTTTTTTAATTTCATCCTGAAATGATTTTTTAAATGAATAGCTTTAAAGGAACCCTTTTTTATGTAGTGGTTCAGTTTTGTCCTTGGTTTAATTTTTGTTGTCTTTTGTTTCAAACTCATAATTATACATTACCATACCTAAAAACAAAAAAAGGGAATAAAAATTAAACCAAGGATAAAATTAAACCACAACGTCTATTCCAAAATATAAGGTCAGTGCTGTAATAGCAGCAGGTATGCCAAACTTTGTCAGAGTGTGACAATGTCACAGTGCTAAACACCACCCCCATCGTGGCGGAGAGACAGTGTCAGTCGCTGGATGTTGGTGGCTTCCTCCTCCAGAGGCTTTCCCAAGGCTCAGTGGGGAATACACGAGAGCTCAAGACAAACAAGAAACACGAGAGGGGGATGATGGGAATTCCCACCACTCTACTTCGTCCCCGTTTTCCTTAATAATTAACTCAAATATCCCCCAAAAATGATTGCGAGCGAATGGGGACGAGGCAGTGTGGGTGGTTTTTTGAGGTCAATGATGTCTTGAAGTCAATGTGCTTGTGCAGTGACTTCACACTCTAAGAAATTTAATTAAATAGCGCTGCATAGTAATAATTTATTGTAAATGGCCAAATATCTAATTTTCAGGCCTTAAATGTCAATTTTCAATATTATGTCCTCAAGCCTTTGTGTATAACAGCACATAAATTTACAACTGACAAAAAACTGTACAATCTCTGAATCCTGTTAATCCAGCCACCTAAGGGCCATTTGGTTTGCTTTGCAGATTAAAAAAATCTAAAGAAAAACAGCCAACTTAGAAAGCAATTTAATTCATTAAAAAAATAAATACATACCTCATGTAAACTTAGAATTTTCCCTACACAGTATAACACTGACTTGTTAACCTGATGATTAAAAAGTTGAACATAGTTTCTACCAGGTACAGTGTAAATGCTTTGTATTATGAGGGTGTACAGTGTTGCACATGAATAAGCAGAGTAAAATCAAACCCTGTTAATACGGACGTAATAACAAGGTGCCCATTTTAAGTGGGTGTACGTGACGCAGGGTGTGCCTGTAGTTTTAGATAAAGGACCTTGTTAAGTTTAATGTATCAGAAAATGCTTCTGTATACGTTTATGGGTAGTTTATTACTTGATTATGTCTGTAATGCAGGCTATTTTT